ATTAGCGAGCAGCTAGTAGCAAGAGGGAAACACAAACCTGACAGACACTGTAAAGATGAGCAACTGAGGAGACAAAGAATTGCGCACCCGCTTTGCACTCACAAACGAAGAGGCCATTAACCATCAGATGACGGGGACGGTGAAGAACGGGCCGATTTAGGAGAGAATCACCGCCTGACTATCGCCGCCTGACTAGCCGCGGCTTCCCTCCCACGTCACTGTTTATGTCACATGCTGAGCCACATGTTTTGTCACTTGTTCACACCCCCCATTGCCCCAAAAAAGGTGCATTCTGTATAAACAAAAGTAGGTAGGCAGCATTTTGCCGCACTCCCCGATTTTGTTTTTATACTGCCAATGCTGAAAGAAGACTGATTGGGCTTTCCTGCGAATTTTCACAATTGATGCCGAGGACAACAGACAAAGCTCCAGCATTTGACGAGTTGGGAATGAGAACAGGTTGGACCGTTCTCAATTTCTATTCCAGACTGTTCTCATTTCTAAGTTGTCAAATTGATTGATTCGAGTGATTTTGGCCTTAGACACCGACACCAAAAGCCACCTTTAGCAGCGGTATGATTTGCCTCCAGGTGGCGTCAGTTTGTAGCACGGCTGAACAGAACCTTCTGTGGTGTTATCCTACATGGCCTCTGTTGTGGCAGTATGACAAGTGGCTGGACAGCGTCAGTTTAAAACGCTGCCAAAAATAATGTGATATAAGGAGCTGGAAAGTTCCTATAGGGCGAGTGGGAGGGGAGGTGGATGGGTCCAACAAACCCCAAACTTTCACCCGGGAGCCAAGCGTTCACTTCCGTATAAATGTAGAGCTAAACTATGATGGGGTTTTTTTCTGAACATAATCACGTGCTTTTGTTGACTTCCCAGTGTTGGTTGTGGTGTCCCGGAAAGTCAACAGCAGATGCAGGAGGATATCTAGTGTGTAATATGTAGACATCAAAGTCCACTGACACAGCGGCAATATGTGACATGATGGGATGAGAATGCGTTGTGTATTCTTGTCTGTACTTGTGTTCATGTGGACCCAACTACTGCAAGTCTTCATTTTCAAGTACGATAATAAGTGTTTTATCTCCAACCAATTTCTTTAAGACAGCTTTGAGATTAACCCTTTACATGCTGGTCAGTTTATCAAAGTAATGCCCTCTCGCAAATGTGATTTTCAGAGAGGTGAGATAGACCAGCAAGTGAGATACCATGGTTATCATCAGGGAGAACCGTCTCCTCTAAGCAAGCCATTCAATAATTCACAAGTGACACTGACTATTTTCTTTTGATCAAACTGCACTTGGAGTCAACATCAAATTTAAATAGAAAACCACCCTGTTCTCTTCAGGGCTGCCATGATGTTGCGCAAAAACAAAATAGGCTACAATAAACCAATAGATTCCAGGAATCCTGTTGTGCCTGAAAGAATGTCAGCACAATTAATATGCAACTGTAAATATCACCCATTATTGATAACTGCTCAGTTGGCTTCCTGTTTGTTACATTAGAGCCAGAACAGGTAAATTGGTGAGCTGCAGCTCTTAATTACTGTGGAAAGCAAAGTAATTACAGATCTATAAGCTTGTCACAGTGCGATCTTTATTATTTGTCACTTGAACACAATGCTTTTGTCTGTGCTGGGATCCTTTAATCAGATTCATATATGCTTTATTGATTAGCCTTGTGGCAAAGGTTAGTGATGTAAACTAACTGGCTCATCTGGATTCAAGCTTGAAGCAGCTGTTTAAGTAAGTTTTCCTCAACAAAATATGCTAAGAAACTGTCCATGTAATGACTGGCCTGTGGCGTTATTTAGCACTGACATGACTCAGCTACTCGAGGACCTTGTAGAGAAATGGGTCCTCAGAGACCTCTGTAATTCTGAGATGGACTCAAAACAGTCTCACCTTGTGAGATCGTTCCCCGCACCCTGAGCCTGTGGCAGCGGAGCTGAGGTGTTGCACTGGCCTATAAACTGCTCCCTGAACAATTACACACACTGAGCATCATTCTCTCTCTTACACAAACATCTGTCTGCGTCTTAATAGCTTTTCCGGCACTTTCCTCGTGTCTCCACTGAGACAGAAGGCCAAGATAACGTAAGGCACACTAATGTACATTTAGCCTCTTGGAATGACATTGCAGCTGTTGAAACTGTCTTTATTGAACATGATCTGTTTTGATGTCTTTTTCATGCCCATATTCCAGAGTTGACCAAATGTTGCTTTTATCATTTTAAAATTAATTTCAGCACTTTTACTGTGTGTTAAAAGTTGACACTTAGATGCAGACACACTTTGATAAACACTTAGAAAGCAATGCTTTCGGACAAGCCCCATTTGTCGGTGGCAAGCGTCTCCCTCAGAAGTGTTTTTAAAAGGCATATGTTTCCTCCAGCACAGCATTTCACTCTCAGCAAGGCGTGATCCCTGCTTCTGTTTCCCTGGAGTGCAGTAGTCTGCTGTCTCATTGTAACTGTTATAGTACATCATAGCTACACACCTGGTCCGGCTGTGACTTTTCTCTGTTTTGTGCGTTGGTAAGATCTGATATAAAATCAATCTGATCAATGCAGCCAGTCTCACTGCTTATATTTGCAGTAAGTCTCAAACAGCCTCAAATCTGCAGCTATGTTCTGACTCTAATAGAACATATTTCTTCCTATAATATACCTACCTACAAACTTTTTGTTTGCATTCAACATTCAAAATTTAAGATGTGAATACAGTTCAACATTAAATGTTTCTGGAAACTACAGATATGTTATGTTTACATGTTATCACTGCACATAGTGGAAACACTGGACCAGATTGCTCTGAGACAAGGGAGGCTTAACTTCCCCTAAATTTTCAAAGAAGAAATGGTCAAATATGCACTATTGAATTGATTTACAATACATTAAACATGCGCTAGGATGCGTTTCACATCACGACTTTGATGTTCAAACGTCAGCTGTTTATCACCACTGTTCAAATGCGACCTCCCTGTCATACATTCTCGTATCAGCACGGTGGACGCGGAGCCTCCAAGCATTCCTATGAGACAGCGCTGAGCAGGTTTTTTTCATGCAGCAAAGCGAGACGGTCATTGGGTAAATGCGACAAAATCATCACTTCCAGGGAGGCTCAGCTTCCCTGGGACCTAATGGAGCAGTAGGCGGGAGGGGATGCTCGGTGTTTGCATGATGATTGGAGGAATTGCCTAAAATGCGGAAACCCTTTGTGATTGACAGCGCTTGGGAAATACCCACCAGCATCGTTGCATTTTGAGCTCAGTCCCATGCAGATATTTGCGAGTGGAGTCCTCTGACTTATTTCCATAAGCGATATAGCTCATTTTCACCGTTGGTAAACTCATCTGAAAATCTCTGAGGTGTGTGTTGCTGTGGTTCTATGGCATGAGTGTGGTTGAAAAACGGCTTCAATGAAATGTTCCTATTATAAGTTACTGCCTCGCTACAATATGACAAATTTTATGATGTGAACTTAAAGTGAGCTTCCCCTGTTTGAAAGACTAGCAGCCGCCACTGCACTGTCGTTATGGTGGGGTTAGGTTTAGGCACAAAAAAACACTTCATTATGGTCAGGAAAATATCATGTTTTGGCTTAAAGCACCTGGTTCTGGGGGCACAATCAAACAAGGAACAGCAGCGACATGACAGGCAAAAACAATGGCTTTTTGTGGCACTATCCCCTGCGACAAGTCGTCACAAAACACCCAGGTTTGGAGCCTCAACATTTGCTGTAAAAACAGCAACAGGTCCCTAAAAAACACTCATCTTTGGAGCCTAAAAGCAAATCTAAACAAAATAATGACTCACTAAAACACAACTGCTTTTGTTGGTAACTTGGTCTCGAGCAGTAGCCTGCAGCTCAGCAGCTGTCTCAGCTAGGTGGCACTCCATCCACCCTCCGCTGACAAAGTCACCTCATGTATTACATCACTTTAGAAACTTCAATATAATATGTGTAAAATGTGCAAATGTTACATGCTTGTGGTTTGCAGAAACATATATTACCAACATTTTCTTTTGGCGAGTGGGCTGGATAAAAACACTGTCAAAATTCAACCAGCACTTAAGAGAAACTGAAATTGTTGTACTTAACTTTCTTCTTGACCAGCTGTGGTGCTGACAGCAGCACAGATGTAACATCTAAGGAGACATGAAGGTTTTGGACAGAGTGAAAACATGCTTCAAACCAAGTGTTTGTCAGATTTCATCCAACAGCATCTGAAACCCCTTTTCTGAAACATGCAATCTGACATCTAAAACATTCATGCGTCTGGTGGACATCTGCACACTAGCTGCAAAGGCACCCGATCTCCTCCTGCTAGTGCAAGCGCTTAAGTGTAAGGTCACAACTGTACATTTAAAATGAAAACTAGATGTTTAAAGGTAAAATTCATCAAAGCATATTTGTGAATATATCATCATACCAAGTCGTTTGCACCACTGAACACTGTTACTTTGTGAAAACTTAACTTGAGTCGTTGCCATACCAAATATTCACATTGTAAATACGTGGTGAAGTGTTTTCCAAGTCATACACTGTTACATCAGGACAGCTGCACAGTTATTTCCTCTTGATAGTTTGTCTTTTCTCCACACCAAAGCTGCCTAAAGCACATGATAATAGTCTTGTCCATATCTCTTCAAGCAGTAGCCCCCCTCCCCTCTGAGTGGAACGTCCAGCCTGTGCAGTGGGAAGTGTTTGTGTGCGTGTGTGTGTTGGCGTGCTTATGTGTGTGTTTGTGTGTAAGCTTATGTTTATCTCTGCACTGCCTTTGGTTCCCTTTGATTTCCCTTAAGCCTTATGTCTTTTGTCATGTTCTGGTCTTCTGAATGCTTGCTTATGGGTGTCATTTGTTTTCTCCCCCTGCCCCGCTCCCTCCCTGCCTCCTCCCCCCTCCCCCATTTCTCCTTTATTTGCATGCTGTTCCTCCTGTTCCACACCTCCCTCCTCAACTGCCATGTCCTCTCCTTGTGTGCTCAGACACTGCGCCCAGCACTGAACCTGCAGCTCATGGTTGGTATCTCTACTTTCCTCTTTATGTCTCTCTTTTTCTTTTTTTTTTTAACTTGTATCCTTTCTCTGCAGCATGCCTACTTTTACTGTTGCAAAGTTGACAGCTGTGCCAGGCTGCCCAGCCTGGAAATGTCAGCTATGTGCCTGGCGTCAGTCATGTATTGATCCAACAGACCTGTCTTTTGAGGCCACAGAGCACCTGCCAAGGAGCAGGCAGACTACGTTTTATTTTTGTTGCATTAATTGTGCCACAAAGATATATTTATATCATTTACTGTCACTGCATAGATCCAGACATTGCATAAACACCCTGTTTAAAAAAACAGAAGCTTCTCATTCTCCTTGCTGGAACTACACATGTGAAATGGTTGCACCAAGCAACCAATTACAGTGGTTCCCTGAAGGTGCCACAGAGGAATAAAACCCACTCTGAGGCCAGGACTGATTATATCAACAGCATGAGACGATTCTGTGTGGAGGCAAAAATAGACCTCATTTTCCGGTTTTCATTAATTTGAATGAAGATGATACGCATCATTTTCTCATTTTGCCTAATTTGCATCCCTTTTTTTCATCTTTTTGTGGCAGCAGTTTTGTAATTTGTGTGAACAAATTCATGAGCTTGTGGCCACAAACTTTCTATTAAGCATGTGCTCAGTTTTCTCCATCAGGAAGTTTTAAGCAGACCTCGTTCCCTTGCTATAATGATCAAATTAGGGGCTTCAGAAAATGAGCCACGCGCACCTATTAACCTTCTGTTTGTGGCTGCTTAGTTAAACACAATCACATACAGGAATATGCATAAGGTTTCATATAGGTAGACAAAACAAACGCACCTGTCAGATTACCTCAAACCAAGAAGAACCTTTGGGTCCCCTGAGGTTTTGAGCGCATTTTGCCGGTATGGTAATCCAGCCTTGCTTGCCATAAAAAATTACATTTACATGATTTTAATGCTCTGTTACTTGTTTATTTTCAATGAATGGTCAGATTTGATCAAAATTAAAGATAGGGCCAGATGGGCTCAGTGATTGCCGAGGCGTGCGAGTTGTAAACAACTCAAGTGTTTCAGAGAAAACAGCCAGCCTATCTTTTTAAATGATAAAGTTTGATGACTCATACTTCCCAGGGGGGTCCGTTTAAAAATGGTACAGGCATTTGACATGGACAGGTTTCTGCTCTTCTCACTCAGTTTGAATTATTTTTTCGCAATTTATGTCCTGAGTCATCGGACCTCTTGTGCTGCAGATTTTACAATTAGGTTTGCTATTTAAGATGGAGTGCACGAGTGAGGTACCCATTTGATATTATAGTCAGAATCAAATCTCTGGTGACATTTTTATCCTTATGTAACCCAAAAACAATTTAAATAATAACTATAGAAATGAGGATCTGTATTAAAATGGTATTTTACTGCACAGGAAGTGTTTTATTATTAACAGTGTTTAAATGTCGTGCATATAGAATTGATTCCTTCAGACACATTAAGGTAAAAGCTATTTCCCCTTTCCATCGCTCATGCAAGTTCTTTTACTGCCAACTGTGAGTGTTAAATTCAGTAGAACTGCAGACTGAAGCTGTAAATGAAGATCACTACGTAATCTTTCATTTGAATGTGGATTACCACCATAATCACTCTGCCTGTGTGTGCCAGCCCATTCTCCAGAAGAAAATGTTGGCATTGTATGCTTCTGCAATCCACCAAGAAGTTATATTTGCATGTTTCATATGTATCTTATCAACATTTACAGGGTACAACCTTGGCAAGATACCCACAGAGCTGCAGACCACTGTTAAAGATCAACAAACAACAACACCGGTTGCGATTTAGTGAGTCATTGCTGTGGTTGCAGCAGATCTGTAGGCACCAGACATGGGTATTTTGTAGCAACTCATCACTGTTTTTCCAGCGGGGACAGTCAGTGGCATGAAAATTGGTTGTTTATTCTGTTTCCTGCTGGGAATGCTCCACCTGGACATGATCTTTTTCCTTCCTCCACATGTTGACTACAGCATTGTTGAAACCAACCGGGTCTCACTATGAAGTCATCGAAATCCGACGCTTGGGCAGTGACTGAAAGAAAACAACGAAAAAAAGCTGTCCTTAAATGTCGGCATGATATGTGGCTGGTCACGTAGTTTAACAGAGCGTAAGATGGATCAGGAGTTTGCCTCGGCAACTGCAGTGATGCAGGCATTGTGCCGGACTGTTGAGATGACAAGAAAGCTGAGCCGGAAGGCAAAGCATTCAATTTACCGGTCCATCATACGTCCCAACCCTCACCTATGGTCATGAGCTCTGGATAATGACTGAAAGAATGAGGTCGCGGATCTAAGCAGCTGAAATGAGTTTCCTTAGAAGGGTGGCTTGGCTCAGCCTAAGAGATAGCGTAAGGAGCTCGGACATCTGGAGGGAGCTCAGAGTAGAGCCGCTGCTCCTTCGTGTCAAAAGCATCCAGCTGTGGTGGTTCGGGCATCTGATCAGGATGCTTCCAGGGTGCCTTCCATTAGAGGTGTTCCGGGCATGTCTAACCTGTGGGAGGCCCTGGGGCAGACCCAGAACACACTGGAGGGATTATATATCTCAACTGGCCTGGGAACGCATCAGGATCCCCCAGGAGGAGCTGGAAAGTGTTGCTGGGGAGAGGGACGTCTGGAGTACTACATGAATGAGAATAATTGATATAATCAGCATAGGTTGGCATGTTTACTATATCACAGTGATGGTAGTGGTATAGGAGGCCGTTGAAGTGCCTCCTGACATGCTGTTGACTTCCTGTGTCAGACAGACACGCCTGCAGCTGAAGTGAGGTCCTCTCCCTGTAAATGATGTTGGCAGCCTGTATTGGCCGGTCCACAGATGCTTTTTGTTTTTCAACATTTACGAGGTTTTGAACGGTTGCCCTGGATACTATAATGTGTCCCAGCTCATACTCATTTTTAAGTGGAAATATTTAACTGCAGTAATTCATCATGAATATATTTACTGTATGTTAGCTGGAGCTTTCACTAGAAACTATGGGTTAAATACAATAATAAGCAGCTGTATAGAATCAAGACTGTGGATATTACAAGCAAGCAGCAACCTCCAAGGCTGAAAAATGAAGCCAATGCTGAAGTGCCAAAAACTGCAGTTCCTCTAATGGCCACTTGAGGCTGGCTCCAGAAGCCATCATTCAGTATGAATTTGGCTGCTAAAAGATCTTTTTAGATTTAAACAAAAGCTTTACGAGAGTGAGTGTCAGCTCATTGTTGACTATCTTGCTTCACTCTCATAGCAACCAAATCTCCAGAACAAAAGTGGCCATTGTACATTTCTACAAACCACTGATGTTTTACATATGCACATTCGAGGAACATTAAAACTTTATGTTTCAACAAAGCTGTGGTGAAGGTGTGTTTAGATTTAGTCACAGACACCACTTGGTTATGGTTCAGAAAAGGCCGTGTTTGGGCTTAAAATACCAGTTTTAAGAGCACAGTTCCAGCTGGAACAGCAGCAATATGTTGGTTAAAAAACAACCACTCGGTGCACCCATTTGCTCACCTGGTAGAGCAGGTGCCCATGTACAAAGGCTGTATCCTTGCCGCGAAACACAGGATGAATTTTAAAAAGCAGCTGCCTTTTCATGCCTCTATCCTGACCAGAAATGAGTTGATGTCTTGATAGAAAACAAATGCTTTTCATACCACTATCCCAGCAGGAAACTCAGGGATGTCTCAGTAAGAACCAACTGCTTTTCATTCCACTATTCCGGCAAGAAACACAGCTATGTCTTGGTAAAAAAGTGACTGCTTTTCATGGCTCTGTCCCAAAAGGAAATGGGGTGATGTCTTGGTAAAAAACAACTGCTTTCCATTCTACAATCCTGACAGGAAACGCAGTAATGTCTGTGAAAAGCAACCACTTTTCATGGCACTATCCCCGCTGGAATAACAGCAACAGGTTGCTACAAAATACCCTTTTTCTGTCTAAAAACCAGCAACAATTTGCTAAATCACAACCAGTTTTGTTGTTTGTTAGTCTTGAACTGTGGTCTCCAGATTGGCAGGAGTCTCACCAAGATGATGGCCATCCCTCATCCCCTCCACTTTGTGACTACAAAGTCAGCTCATATACTTCATCACTTTAGAAATACTGATATATGTATGAAACATGCGAAAGTAACATATTCATGGTTTGCAGGAATGCTGCTCATGGTGCTGTTTTCAGCCGCAGCAAGCAGCTGTTTTTTAGTCAAAAAGCTGTGATAAACCCTCTGTACACTACCTGCTCAGCATCAAACAGCAGACAGACAGAGAGTATCTAGTGCACATAGTGGAGCATTTAGCAGCTAAAGAGCCAGATATTTCCCTAAGGTATTAGTAGAGATCAAAAACAGAGCTAAAAGAGAGTGAATATTAGACTTAGATTAACCAGGTGGCCAGAAACAGGACTTTAAATGAATGACAATGTTGTTCTGTGTCTGCTGGTTGTGTAAATAAGCAACTCTTTGCCAACAAGGTCGTCATATCAACTTAAAAGGTGATGATGTGTAAATGTCGTGTGGCAAAGTGGCCAATAAAATCAGCCGTTGCAGGCTTAAGTACATTATGAAGTGGAAATGCTGAAGAGGTTTGAAAACCTGTTACTTGTTTGACTTTGTGTACATCTTTTGTTTGCAGTAGATGTCAAAGAAGCAGGTGTAATTAATGTGTGTTTAAGCAGCCCACTGCCAGTCTAAATGCCAAGTAACGCTAATAACTGCATTATCATACTGTATATCATTTTGTTTAAAAAAAAAAAGGATTTTTAGTTACAATATTTCCCTCTCATAAAATATTTGTAAAGGGCAAAAGAACATGGGCTTAAACCAGATGAATGGATTTTCACGGTGGATTGATGGAGATGGGATTTCATTAATATGCATACACGATTTTGGTGAATGAACATTAGCGGAAGGTTCAGGTGTTGTATCGAATATTTAAATATAATTAACACTCACTTATTCCACAAGGCT